GGAGAATATATTAGCATGAAGAGAGGAGTGTTTAATGGACAGTAGTTGAAGAATGGGCACCAAAAGGGCATCTTCAAGTTGGCAAGCTAAAGGCAGTGGAATGCTGACCACATATGACCTTTCCTCCTAGCTGTTGTCATTACTTATAGTTCTCTCTGCCTCTTCATCTAAGCCAGTATATTAATATACTGAAGGGGAGGACCAGTTTGCAAATAGATTTAGACAGGTCAAGTGAGTGGGCAACAAAATGGCAGAAGGGGTATAATAAATGAAAGTATGAAATCATCATAACATTAAAAACCTGTTAAGTTTCAGAGAGACTTTAGTGTGCTTTTATAAGGAATACAGAAAGTTGGCATGTAGGTACTAACAAAAAACATCTTGTGTTGGCTTTTATTGCAAGCTAATTGGATTATGGGAATTGAGAAGTCTTGCTAAAATTGTACAGGGCTTTGGTGAGACCACACCTGTAATATTGTGATTAATTTTGATTTTTTTTAAAGAAGGATATGCTCACATTGGAAGCTATACAACAAAACTTCACTAAAATGGTTTCTGGGATGAGAGGGTTGACCTTTGATAAGAAGCTTAGTAAATTAGGCCTATATTCTCTAGGGTTTACAAGAATAAGAGATGATCTCATTAATATATAGGAGTTTTTGAAGGAGCTTGATAGGGTAAATGCTAAAAAAAACTTGTTTCAACTGCTCAGGCAATCTAAAACATAAATCTGGAGAGGGTATGATCATTATTGACTTAGATGAAAAATTACTTCGTTCAAAGAGTTATGAATCTTTGGAATTTGCTTTCCCACAGATTTGCGGATGTTCCATTGTCCTATATGAGATAAGACAGATTTTTGCTGTCTTATGAATCAAGGGACATGAAAACTGGGCTTGGAAAATGAGGTTGATCCCCAAGATCAATTATGTTCATACTGAATGGCAGAGCACATTCAATAGCCTGAATGGTCTACTCCTGTACCTTTTCCTTGTGTTTGTTTTTCTTTTTTTTTAATGATCAATATTTCACACATCAATATTTCACAAAATCATATCACTGAGTTACAATTAATTAATGCATGAATGGCAGTAAGCAATTTATGGTTCAGAATTTCCTTTCTCTTTTACATTTCAGTACAGATCAAGGAGAAGGTACCCAAAGATCATTCAGACCAAATAGATCTTAACTCATCCATTCTTCTTGTCTAGCATGGCGATATCATTCCCCCAGTATAGACATGCCATATTCATCTGAAGGAACCTGGCATAGCATTAACAGGCAGCATCAGGCCTCCTTTGGCTGGTGTCCATAAACGGCAAGCTGAAGATCTTCCAACACTTCTCCCCCAATTTCTAGCTCCACTTGTCTGAGGTTGGAAGCGATTTCTCATAGAATCTGTACAGTGTGGAGGGCCATTTGATACATTGAGTCCACACCAACCCTCTGAAGAGCATCCCTCCCAGACTCAACCCCACATCCTGTCCCTGTAACCCAGCATACCCCATGGTTAATCCACCCAGCCTGCACATCCCTGAACACTATGGGCGATTTATCACGGCCGACCCACCTAACCTACACATTTTTGGACTATGGGTGGAAACTGGCGCACCCGACAGAAACCTATGCAGGCACTGGGAAAATATGCAAACTCCACGCAGACCTGAGGGTGGAATCAAACCCGGCTCCCTGGTATTGTGCTAACCACTGAGCCACTGTGCTGCCCAGATAGCTCCTTCACAGATAATCCAACCTGGGTATAACCTTTCTAAGTGTTAGAAAATGAATGAGATGTCATATGCTGCTGATAGTTAGTAGTACCACAAAGTGGAAACCCAGGAGATAATAATGATCTCCCTTTCCTCTTATTTAAAATTAAATGTCAAATGTAAAACCCTATCCAAGCAACACTAAATCATAGCAGAAATACAAAACAGATCTCCAAACTTTGTCAGGCTACATCATTTGTTTCACAATCTATATTCTGAAAAAGGTTTGTTAGAAGCCAAGTACAACTAAGTCAAAGTAATAGATTGTGTGAATCTTCAAGATCATACCCAATGTTGCACAGTCTATTCCACTGTTCCAGATGTTTATTAAGTTCATATTCAAAACTCTTCTTCTATGCCATCTCCCAGTACAGAATAAAACAATGGAAATGCACTGTACATAAACATAACATCTGTAGAAGGCTGAAGCTATTTCAAAAGCCTGTTTTTGTATAGAAATGATGAATACAGCAGCCTGAGCTGCACTGCACTTATACTACAAACCTTATTTTTTCAAAAATGGTATCTACAGCTATCTGTCTCCAATCCTAGACTATGTGCGATCATATAATTAACAGCTTGCGCCCTGGTCTTTTCTCTGCTCCCTTGGTTTATCATTTACTTATAGTTTCATAATTCTTAACATTTTTGAGCCTCTTGTGTCAGTGAAATCTCTGAATTTTCTAATGAGGAGCAGCTCTGAGAAAGTCCTGCCCAGATAACACAGTCCACATTCTGGTGACAAAAATGAAGAGAAGGCTTTCTAAATATTATAATGATCTAACTAGAGTTTGCCTGGAGACATTTTACACCAAGCACAACTTACCTTCCTAAGAGCACAGTCCCAATTATTCTAGAGGTTTGCAGAGGATGTTGTGTAACAGTGAAGCAGGTCATGAATGATGTTCATCCTATTGTGTATTCTGGTTGTAATCAAGGTGGTTTTGCTTTTTCAAGTATAATGCAGTGGGATAAGCACAGTAACTGAGCAGGTGTGTTTGCTAATCAAGCTACTCACAGCATATTTTCAAAACCAGTAACCCTCCTCCATGCAGCTCTGGACTGTAGCCATTCAGAGCTATATTGAGGCATTTTGGTGCCTTTCTTGTTGGAATTGATGTCCATGCCTATGTGTCCGAGATAATCTCTCCAGGTAACAGGTCATGAAGCGTTATTCAATGGTACTTTCTGATCTTGAAAATATGTAAGAGAAATTTATATTAGGGTTTTCTGCAAGTGTACTTATTAGTATCCGAGAAACAGTTTATCTGTAACTGAATTGTGCAGAATATCAATTTAAGTGCTAAGTGTGTGTGCATAATAATTATTCTGGTGAACTACTTCAGGCTGCTGTAAGTACAGTTACATGTGTCTTATTTTCCTACAAGTAAGTTTTTTTTTTAACTTTTATATACTGCAAACATATTTCTCATTGTCCAGTAAAATATGTTCTTCTGAATACAGTGTCAATAAGATGTCCTGTCACTGATTCCACAAAACCCAGTGGACTGAGCTCTGAAAGTATCATTAAGCATAATCCCTATACAAACATTGGGATTGCCACCTGAGGAATTTTTGGGGTCAGGATTATCTGGACAAGGTTCAGCCAGGCTAAGTTGTGGGCTTCCGATAGTTAGTTTGTTTCAGTGATCAGCATTCTTGCTTCAGACTAGATTGAGTGCCAACAGCCTATTGGCTATGAAGTCTCTTTAGTTGGTTTTCTCCTTGCTCAAGTTTGACAATAAGCACCTTCCAACAATAGTTCCTGTAGTCATCAGGAGCATTATCAACTTTGTCTACTTTGAGGTACACCAAGGCCATTGTAACAACTTGTCATCACTGGCTAGGGAATCACCGATTGACTCTTTGATTTTTATCGCTTAGATGATTCAGTCCCATGGCTGAATCATTGGGAGAGCTGGTTCGGTAATGATGTTGATTAATGTTTTTTGAGCTCACCATGCATTGTATTTGGTTAAAGTTAATAGATTGGGCAGGTTCAGATTCAGACCCAGATCTTTTCAGCTTCAAAGCAATAATTCTTCAAAATAGCAAAGAAAGCTATCATAATCATCAGAATATAGTTATATTGTCACATGATCTGTTCTCTACCACGAATGCTCAAGACAAAACTCAACTTATTGCATCAACAAAGAGTGAGATTATTTAAACACGAACACACAAAAGAAAGAACTACAGATGCTGGAAATCAGAAAAACAGAAATTGCTGGAAAAAACTCAGCAGGTCTGGCAGCATCTGTGGACAGAAATCAGAGTTAACGTTTCGGGTCCAGTGACCCTTCTTCAGAACTAAATTTTTCAGCAATTTTCGTTTTTGATTCTGAAATTATTCAAAGATCTTCAGCTTGTTTATGTATTTACTTTGTTTCCCTTCTAAGCTATGTTGTTCCTTATGCAATATCCCAGACTTCTAATAGTTTTAGAATTAGTATATGAACGCACTTATGTAACTCATATGTTACATAAATTTCATGTTAAATTAATGTTAATGATTCTTTCTCAAGTCAATCATTATTGGGTACTACATAAAAGAATTCATTTTTATCAATTATTAATTTCAAAACTCATGACTAATAATTTACAAATTAGGGCCTTTGGCATTTTCTATTGAACATACAATGAAACAATGAACAACTCCTGAAGATTATTACTATAGCTAGTGATGAGCCATTTACTGGCACGCTTTCTAACGGGCTCTCAATTTCATAATTTAGTTTTTTTGGACAATCTGTTAACATGGTTTATCATTAAATAACCTCGAGTCACACATTCCAATCGCTGTTTTATTAGGGGTCCATCAGCATATCAAATAATTTAACTTGAAGCAGCTGCCAGCACAACATTTTCTTGCGAATCGCATATGAAGAAATCTAAAGACAGAGAAACAAAATAAGAAGGTTCAGAAGCCTTGCCAAAAAAAGTTGAAAGGTTGAAAAAAAAATTGCTTTATCTTAGCTTTAGAGGAAAACAATATTTTTCTCTTTTTGATACTAATTTTCCTTCATCCCTTTTGAGAGATTAGTTGATGAATTAAATAATAAATATTTGCATGTCAAACAACTTCATAAGGTTTTGTTGACTTGTGAACTTATGAATCTTTGAAGATTCAGGCTGGTACATTCCTAATATCATGTGTTTGAAATAGTTGACTATCTTAACTCTTTCTGCCCAGGTTGAGTTGATGAGTATTCTTTTTGCTTTCTTAACTAGCTGTCCGTGCAGACAGAATGAGAGGAGGAAGAAACAAATTTGGGCCAATGTACAAGCGTGACCGAGCTTTAAAACAGCAAAAGAAAGCCCTGATACGAGCAAATGGCTTTAAGCTAGAGACTGTGCCTCAAACAGTATCATCTGGGCAGACTGACTATTCACTCTCAACTGCCATTCACAATATACATTCTTTATCCAAAGGCATGCCACAAAACCCAGCTGCTTTACCAGCCACAGATTATGACAGAAACCTTTACGGAGCACCACCAATCGGCATGTCTGTGCCAAACCATGGAGCACTGCCAAACTATCAGTACACATCGTTTCATAACCGAACAATCAAGTCTGAGTACCCAGACCACTACGCAAGTTCACCAGAATCTCTGGTCGGTTACCCCTATCCAGACACCTATCAATCCAATTCTCCTCCTACAGTCCCACAACTGATCCTAGAGCTCTTACGGTGTGAACCTGATGAACTTCAAGTCCAAACTAAGATTTTGACGTATCTACAACAGGAACAGGCCAATAGGGGAAAACATGAAAAACTTAGCACCTTTGGTCTCATGTGCAAAATGGCTGACCAGACCCTCTTTTCCATAGTTGAATGGGCACGCAGTTGTATATTCTTCAGAGAACTGAAGGTAAGACAGTCTTCAACTTTATTTAATAAATGTTGCTGAGGAGCATCAATCATATTATTTACTTTCTGACTAATTGTGCTGAGTGCTATTTTCAACATTTACTTTACCAACTAACATTACACAACCAGTTGCAGTGGGGAGAGCAGAATCACCCTGGTTCCATGGCTATTGTTCTTAATTGTCCCATATTTTGCTTTCTGTGTTAATTGAAGTCCGATTGTGCTGCCAACTTTCTTGTCACATATACAAAAGGTTTGCTTTCTGTGTTGGTGTCACTTCACCTTTACAGAAGTTATTTGCAAATGCTTTATTCTTTCATGGGCTGAGAGCATCACTGGCTAGGCAGCATTTATTGCCCATCCCTGATTGCCCAGAGGACAGTTAAGAGTCAACCATATTGCTGTGGGTCTGGAGTCACATGTAGGCCAGACCAGGTAAGGTGGGCAGTTTCCTTCCCTGAAGGATATTAGTGAACCAGATGGGTTTTTCCAACAATTGACAATGGATTCACAGTCATCATTAGATTCTTAATTCCAGATATTTATTGAATTCAAATTCCATCATCTGCCATGCAAACCTGGGTCCCCAGAATGTTAGCTGGGTCTGTGGATTATCAGTCCAGCAATAATACCACTAGGCCATCGCCTCCCCTTACAAATACATGATATTGTTTAGATTCTCTGCAACTAAAAGCTTTCAGTGCTTCATTTGATGCAATAACATGACTAGTTTCAAGTGTTACCTTTTTTATTTTATTTTAGGATTTGATTTTACATTATTATTATTATGTACTGTTCCATCTAGCCTTTTGGAAAAATTAGTAATTTTAAGATTTTTGAAGAGTCAATGTTAAATATAGGAAGAGATGGACTTTGAAACCAAGATTCAGCTTTAACATTCATATTTAAGATATATTATGTTAAAATAAACCCTTCATATTCTTGGAAAGTATAGAGAAAATTTTAAAATGTTTTAGTTTTCCTTGTGGCTGTTATTGATTAAAGAGTTTTTCTTTGTTTGAAATTAGAGAGTGAAGTCTTTACTTTCACTTAAGTTCACCAGATCAGCCAGGATCTACTAATGATTCCATTCCTGATGATTTGTTTTATTTTTTAGATGACCATTTAAAAAAAAAATCAGGTTACTTTTGTGAATTTTGAAGTGAGTAGCCAAGCTGCCTGAAGAAGACACTAGCTGATATTTCTTTTACACAAGTGAAAAATCAGAATTAGAAATTATCATTGTGGCAATATTAAAGAAGATGCAAACTGATATCTCAAAACAAATACCTGGCATTGCCAAAAAGGTAGTATAATTACTTCAATTAGTTCCAGCATTAAGACATCCATATCTTAAATGTTTGAACATCTAAATTCAAATTTGCATGCCTTTCAAAAACTGGTTAAAAAGATAATTGGGGTTAATTTCTTAGAAAATGAAACAGGATGTTTTTATTCAAAGGTAAAGTACAGCATTGTAATAGCTGCTTTTCAGTTTCAGTTTGCTCTGATTCTACACTCAGACTTACTTAATTGAGCTTGGTGAGCATCATTGGTAAATTGGCTCACATAATCAAATACAGAACAATTTAACTTAACAGAGGTAATTCTTTTGAATTACTTTCCAAAGGCTCAAACCATAATCCAGAGTGAAATCTCCTCATGGCATGATTGGAATTTAGGTGTAAAAATATGGAATTTTTTTTAGTAAAATTGATGGAATGGACATGATGAACAAATAGCTTCTGGCTATGCGGTAACTTTTAAAATGTTTTTTCCATGAAGTTGTCAGGTTGTCTTATGAACACAAATTGTGCATTAATATTCCTTAAGAGCTATTAATCATCCTTACCTGCTAACTCTAGTCCCTTACCAAAGTGGTTGACTCATACGTGAATAGCAAAAGAGTCAAAGGAAACATGAAAAAAGACATTTGTACAAAGCAACCATAGGATCTCCAGTGCTTGTGAGTGTGGGGGAGACAAATTCAATTATAACTTTCAAAAGGAAATTGGATAACTATCCAAAGGAAAATAAAAACAAAGCTACAGGGAAACAGTGAAGGAGTGGCCTGAGTTTCTCTCACAGAAAGCAGATGAGACACAATTGGCTGATGGCCTCCTTCATTGCTGCAACTCTTCTATGATTCTGTCAATGATGTAGTTTACTTAAAGTGATATATCAAACCATCAGCACGAACAGTACACATTTATAAAAGGTGCTTCACAGATCAATATTAAACAAAATTTGATAGTGCCACATAAAGCCTATTAGGACATTGACCAAAACATCTATCAAAGAAGTTAGGCCTGCAAGAGGTTACTGGTGGGGAGAGATGAGGCCAAGGAAGGATTTGAAAGTAAGGATGCTAATTTTATAATTCAAGCATTGCTAGTCAGGGACCTATTGTTGTCAGTGAATGGGGATTGATGCAAGTTAGGATATAAGTGGCAGGGCTTTCAATGAGCATCAGTTTTTTTCAAAACAGAGGAAGAGAAGCTATCTAAAAGAACATTGGAATTGTCAGGTCTGCAAATGACAAAAACATGGATGAGAGTTTTAGCAGTAGATGAGCTAAGACAGGGTGAAAACCAAGGGTTTATGGAGATGGAAGTGAAGATGCAGTTCCAGATGGCTCCCAGTACTGGCACTATGGACTCTAAAGCTGAACTCCAGAGGTGAGAGTGACTGTCCTTTACATCAAGGCAGCATTTGCTTGAGTATGGCATCAATAGGCTCTGGCAAAATCTGTCAATGGGAATTGGAGAAAACTCTTACTGGCTAGTGTCATAAGTAGCTTAAAAGAAGATGGTTGTAGTTTTTGGAGGTCAATAATCTCAGCCCCAAAATATCATGTTATGAGTTTCTCAGTGTGGTGTCCAAGATTTGACCATCTTCAGCTGCTTCGCCAATGGCATTCCTTCCATCATAAGGTCAGAAGTCAGGATGTTTGCTGATGATTGCATGATGTTCAACATCATTTGCAACTTCTCAGATATGTACGTAGCGTGACCTGGGCAATGTTCAGGCATAAGCTGACAAGTGGCATGTAATATTTGTGCTACAGTAATGAGCCAGACAATGACCATCTCTACAAGAGACCATCCCTAAGAATCACCCCTTAACATTTAATGGCATTTCCATCCTGAATTCCTGAGCATCAACATCCTGGGAGGTTGCCATTGACCAGAAACTGAACTGCACCAACCATATAAAGACTGTGCCCACAAGAGCAAGTCAGAGGTTAGGAAATTTGTGGTCAGTTAGTTACCTCCTGATTTCTCAAACGTAGTCCACGATACACCAGGCATAAGACTCCCCATTTATCTGGATGTGCACAGCTCGAACAACACTTGAGCTTGACATCTTTCAGGAAAAAGCAGCCTGCTTGATTGCCATCCAATTTACTGTCTTAAACATTCAACCCCTCTATCATGCATGGGAATACTATCACCTGTAAATCACACCATCCTGACTTGAAACTATATGATTGCTCCTTTGTTGTCACTGGGTCAAAATCCTGGAACTCTCTTCCAAACTGTGGATGTACCTACACCACATGGACTGCAGCAGTTCTGGGTGTCATCTCACCATTACTTTCTCCAAGGCAATTAGGGATGGGCAACAAATGCTTGCCAAGCCAGCAGACCCTACATACAAATAAGAAAATAATCTTTTTAAAAAACTGCCTTCATTAAACAACTAGAGGAGCAGTACATGCATGTCTCGCATCAATTCCACACACCAAGAATAAATGTCTTACAATAAAATGAGCTCTATTAATTCAGCAGATAAAATAGGTTGTTCTAAGATTATCTAATGATTTAAATTAATTGAAGTAATACTAAACCAAACATTTTAAAACCCACAGTGTATTTATCCAAAGCTGATTAAAATCCCTGTCACTTTTCCTGCTGTCAAGACATGTGACCTCGTTTATGTTAATGTAAATTTTAACGACAACAGGTAAAACAAATAGGCTTCCAGTTCTTTTCTAATTTCCAAGTGATCATTTCCTTCCTATGCCCAGCTTTAATGACAGCCTTTTGGTCAAAGTCTCAGCCAACATTGCTCACAATTTCCCCTAAGGATGATCTAACAATCACAATCTGGCACTCTATATCTCATTTATGAATGGGATGTTATGATCATATTGAATCCTCACTGATGATCACACCATGGTTTTCTAGTACCTGACATTCCAGGCATGTCCTTACTGGTGCTGCATATATCACCAGCCATACCTTCTAAACCTTCTTCACTGGCTACATTAAACATCGCAGCACTGGGGCTGCTAAGCCTTATGAAACTGATGATGCGAAGTGTTTCACAGCAAATGCCCCAAAATGACTGGAAACATACACACAGCTGGCATTCCTGATGAACATGTTGGACTTATCTGAAAGGTTCTCTACATTGTGCAGATAATGTATTTAAGACACATTCCTATGTGTTTGTCTTGTTTGATTCTGTCATTGCAAGGGTATAGAAGGAAATCCAATAGCATTTTAGATTCCTTTAGAAAAAATAAACCCAAGTTGTACTTATTGTCTTCCTTATTGCTTGATTTCTGGCAATACTTCTAGATGTGGCAATTGTTCTAGGTAAATTCATTTAACAGCTGCTGGCTGGAATTTAATACATTGCTAGAGCAAATAGTGGAGATTTTTTACCAACTCTGAAGTGGAAACAACAAAGCTGAAGAACAATCAAAGTGACAAAATAATCTTGCCAATCTCCTTTTGGATAATGATTTAAAATACATCACTTGTCAAAGGATGCACATCGATGCAATAACTAGTAGTGTGAAGCATGGTGTCAAGTGGAAAACGTAATTGAAAGATGTCATATTGAGAAATTATAGTTGAGAAAATTCTATCTGCGGTCTCTGGGAGAAAATCAATACTGTCATATAAGGGCCACATTAGCACTGGACAGAGCAGGCAAGGTCACCTCCATGTTTGTCAGATTCAATGCGCAGTTCAAGTTGTTGCCATCCTT